GGGAATTTCATGGATACAGGAGGGGACGAGCCGAGAAGCGTAGCCGCGTCGTTGGAGTCGGCGGGAGGATCTGGATCCGAATCCAGGGATGGCTTTCGAGCGGCGAGGATGGGGTTTGTGGCGAGCTTCCACCGCATGAGTCGAAATCCATGGAGAAGTGTTACAGGGAGATGGTAAGAGTCATCTTGCTGATGATTGGTAAGCATCCTTGCCGATCAATCAATTTCGCAAATCCTTAATCCAAAAAATTCTAATTTGTAATTCTATTGGGTGTCTTGTGGTGGGTTAAGTGACAGCCATGGAGAAATGTTAACCTTTGTCTTCTTCAATCGCAAAATTTGGAGATGGTGGCAGGCATTCTTCAATGGTCCCCGGAGAGAAGCCGTCCCCGGAGAGAAGCGATCTGGGTTGTGACGGCAACGAAGGGGAAGAGGCACATTTATTGATTAATTAATTTTTTATTTCTTTTATATTAAAATATGACATGGCATTTATGTGGCAAGTGTGGTTGAGTTGTCGCTGATGTGTGCGATGATTTGGCATCCTAGTCAGTCAAACATTAACCAAACTGACGGAGTTTCTAACACCGTCAATGTTTCTAACGGAAATGGCTAGATTTGTCACAATATCATTCATTTTTTGGGCTATTTTGTGTTTTTCGATAATTATGGCTATATTTGTCAAAAACGTGAAAGTTATGGCTATGGAAGTGTATTTTGCCAAAATAAAATTATTTGTGGGTTTTAACTTTGGCAAAATACACTTGTATAGCCAAAATTTTCACGTTTGTGCCAATAATAGCCAAATTTGGAGAAATACCACTTATAGCCACTTCCGTCCAATATTTTAACGGTGTTATCTAACAGAGTGACTAGACTAACAGCAACGATTGACATGGCATATTTTATTCCAAAATAATGACAGGTGGAAAGTCATTAAAATTTTTCCTTTAATTTTAATTAAATTAATTAAAAAATATACAAAAACAATAATCTCATTCTTCACCACCGCCGTTTCTCCTTCCCATCTTCGAAATCGCCGCCGTTGTTGTATTGTTCTCTCCGATTTCCTCATCTCCATCAACGAACAACAATACAAGATTACCTACAAACAAAACCATTTCTTTTCTTCTCCTCTCATCTTTATCGTCTTCTTTCTCTCTTCAATTCTGTCATCCCCTGGAGTTGGTTGATTGGGCTCTATCCCCAATCCCCCAAAAATATATAGGCTGCTTCCAGGTTGCTCAAGAATCCCTAACCCGGCCGGCGATAGACAATACATCAGCAGGGAGAGCAATCGCTCCCCACTGTCGCGCCGTCGTCGAGCAGTAGCAGAGGGCAAGGCTCGGGCGATGATTGTTGGGGCAAAATCAACGATCTGATGGGATGAAGTTGGAGCGGAGGGCTGGCAGAGATCTGGGTTCGATCGAGCTTTGTCGGTAGAGAGAGATAGCCCTGTTCACTTGGAAGCGCCGCCTCCTCTCGCCGACACCGTCCTCTTCCGCGATTTATGTCACAGCCAGATCCATCCCAATCGTGGTGTGACGGCTAGGATTTGGGAATAAACAGGGGTTGAACAAAACCACCAGATTTTGGAGACTTTCTCGATGGTGCAGAGGTCTAGAGTTTGGGAGATGAGTTCCTCGATTCGCTGACTCTCGTCCTCCACCACTAGTACTCGGCAACGATGAGCATGGCAGGGTCAAAGGCGATGTAGATGAGCGGTGGGGTTTCTCTGGGGTGATTGAGGTGAGATTTTGGCGGCCAGATTGACAGATCTTGGAGGCGGATCCGGGCTCCGACGAGGTGACAGAGTGGCTAGGCAAGAATGGCCAAATCGAAAGAAGAAGAGGAAGAAGAAGAGGAGGTGCGGCGGTGAGGAAGTTCCAACGCCAATGAGGAGAGAGAAAGGGGAAGTGAGGTGGGGAAGGGAAGGGAAGGTACAAAAATTAAGTTATTAATTTTATTATTTATTTTTATTAATTAATTTATGATGTATGTAATGATGATGTGTCACTTTTTGCTTATTTGGCGCTGATGTGTGTGCTGGGTAGGAGCCTAGTCAGCGAACCGTCAAAGAACTTGACGGTGTTATTAACACCGTTAAAGTATTAAACGGAAATGGCTATATTTGTCCTACAACAACTTTAAAAGCTGGCTATAAGTGGTATTTCTCCAAATTTGGCTATTATTGGCACAAATGTGAAAGTTTTGGCTATACAAGTGTATTTTGCCTTTAACTTTTACGGAAGGGGTTTGTGGTGGGTTTATTAATTTTAATTTTTTTTTATTTTTTATTAATCTATGTGGCAGTGTTATTGATATAATATTGCCAAGTCAGTATTTCCGTTTGTCCAGTCAGCTTGTTAGATGACACCGTTAAAGTATTGGACGGAAGTGGCTATAAGTGGTATTTCTCCAAATTTGGCTATTATTGGCACAAGTGCGAAAGTTTTGGCTATACAAGTGTATTTTGCCGATTTAGATTGACGAAAGTGGATATTTTGTGTATTCCGAAAGTTGTGGCTATAACTGTCACAAACGTAAAAGTTGTGGCTATAAAAGTGTATTTTGAAAAAAAAAACAAATACAAATAAATATGTTCACTTGTTCTTTCGTTTTCGTTTGATAAAACGAAATGGCACAAATTGGAAAGCTGTGAGGAAACGATAAATACTCATTCTTTTACATATGAAATGTAGGTACGCTTTTTGGCCCAAACTCTCTATCCACTGTTTCATTTCTTGGAGTTTAGTGGACGACGGGCAAAACCTCAAAAGACCTTAGCCCCACGCACTTCCTTCCCCGGCCGAGCTGTCCGTACCTCCCCTTCCCGATCTTGCCCCAAAATCAGCAATCAGAAATCAGAAACATTGACCATGCCTTTCCCCCAAAATCAGCAATCACACGGTAGTGTTTCAGTCTGTACATCTTTTCACTGTTCCAACCTGCTCTTCCAGATTTCCTGCTCCCTTCACCATTGGCCACACACGCCACCGGCCATCAATTGTACCTCCTGCTTTGCTCCCCTCAATTCAGGGAAGATTGATGTCCTCTGTTCACCCAAACACCGGATTTGTTGGCCGCCTCCTCGATAAGAGCATCTCGGCCGTACCCCTTTTCATCCATCGCCTCTGTTGCCGTCTTATCAATGTCGAACTCTGAAAACCAACTCAAACACTTCTTCGCCCATAATTTTTCTACATAGGTTCTTAGCCCTCAAGGGAAGACTTTTTTCTCCGTCGACCCTTTTTCATATGCACCTTTCAATTCGATTCTCTTTTTATCTGTTCTTGGTTTAGCACCCAATTCTTCGGCCAAACCTCCTCCCATTCTCCCTTTTCGTGTCAAATATCTCTTGCACCAGCCCCGCGCCATTAATCATTTCGAAGTCCAATTCTGATTTATTCTTACCGCTGTCAGCGTGACAAGTTAATGGTTGCTGTGATTTTCCACTCCGGTCCCGCTTCACATGAACAATTAGCAGAGCTTATCATAGTGAAGGAGAGAGATGGCGTAGAAGATGGATTAAGTTCCACGGCGGTGAAACCTGCCCAGTGCTCACCTAACAGTGCTCACCTAGGAACCCCCATGGCGACGAAGATGATCCGCAGATGATCATTCCTTGAAAACTGGTTCAGTTGCGTCAACCTTTGGTTAAGACTCACAGGCTCTCTTCCTTTTCTTAGTTTTGAATGGCAGTAAGTATTGTAGAGAGAGACTGGAGGTGTAAAGGATATATTATATTTGTTGTTGATTAGGGGTGGCTGGATGAATATGTTGTTTGATGTGAGTTTTATGCTGCTGCAAGTAGGAGGATAGACAACTGTGTCACTACTTCTGTAGAAATCGAAGATACAAGCAATGGTAAGTGATTTCCTGTGCCTTTAAGGTAGTGGAGGATACAAGCAATGGTAATCCTTTTTTTACTGTTTAGGTTTCTAATTGCTTCCTTTCTTTCAGAGTTTCGTAAAATTTTGTTTGAGACCAGGGTAGCGGTTATTCGTGAATGCTATTTGTGGTTTCATTGGTTTACATTTACTTTGCTCTTTGTCAACTAGCTGCTCTCTGATGCCAACTCTAATTCCGACTAATACATTCTGAAGAAATTTGTGCTTAGTTCGCTAGAAATAACCCTTCCAATTAGTTGGTCACCCCACTTGGCACTTTTGTTGGCTGAAAATCTAATGATATTTGAGATTTTGATGCCAATTTCAAAGCACCAGATGGACTTGGACAAAATAGAGCAGTAATGGAAGAGGGCTGCAAGATTAACGAAAGGAAGATTGTGTGATAAGTTTGTTATTGAAAGGTAAGAGATAACCAATGCCTTTCGTTTTTTGTGAATTGTGATGTACTGCCAGTAAAAGGACTTCGAATTTTAATTATTTTTAACCTTTTCATGCTTAAAGTTGGGGGTTTCCTTTCATCTATCTTGCCGTTGCAGGGATCAAGCTTAGGATTATGAGGTTTAACTGGTATTTGGACAGTGGCAATGTACAAATTGCCAAACTTTCTTTGTGGTCTCATCAACTGGCATCAACTGGCATGTTGCTTAACTGATGACATTAATTAGTGAGAATATAAACAAAATATGAAAGACTAAATAGAAAAGGATGTTGAATACAATTTTTAATGACGGAAATTAGCATACCATGTCAAGTTACCAATACATTACTGGTAGGCATACACGTTCATAGTGACATTAACTGTCTGGACCACCTTCTTAATACTCTATAAACTATAAAATGATGTTGATGCAAGTTTAGTCCCTGCGGCGTAGCCGCGGGTGTCGATTCTAGTTTCTTCTAAATAATGGGACACTGGGTTCCAATCCGCCCAGACCCATCTTTTTTTCTCTTCTGATTTGCGACCTCCACACGCTCGCTGACATGGTTGTCGTTTTGGACTTTGGAGTCCTAATTCCATTCTCTACTCCCTCCATAGAAGAATCCATCCCCTCCATCGATCAAAGTGGCCGCTCTCCCAAGTCCAGCGAAGAACTTTTTCTTTGCCTCCTCCAGCCGGCGATGAGGTCCATCCCGCCTCCTCCTCCTCCAGCTAGCGACCGAGAACAGCGGCCTCCTCCACTAGGCAACGATGAGCTCCAGTCGTCCAGCAGGCGCATCTTCCTCCTACCGCGATCCAACTCCAGCCTGCCTCCTCCTCCTCCAGCTGCCGACCGAGAATGCAGCGATAAATTACATCAAAGCTTTCGCCCTCACATACTCCTTCTCACCTGCGCCAGTTTCCGAGTCAAAGCTTCTTCCTCCGACCCCTCATCACCTTCCCCAGACCTCTTTCTCTCTTGCATGGTAGGTTGTTTGAACTAGATAGTAATGGCGGAATTGTAGAAATTCGTGGGGTCAATTTCTATGTCCTGGTTTCAATTCATGCGGGACTTGTCTGTTGCAAATTGTGGGGTTTTAATGAACTATGTGATATTCTAAACTTGCCCATATTGAAGCTTGCACGTATGATCATTTTGATAACGTTGATGGTAGTTACAGTAAGTTCCCTATTCTTTCTCTGCTCCATCGATGAAGTATTATGGTGATTTGTTTCTGCAGGCAAAGGCGGCGTTGAGAATTTGGTAATCATAGGTTCAGGTCATGCTGGATACACTGCAATAATTTATGCAGCTCACTATATATGAATGCAGTTTTATGAGTGAGATATTGGATTGAGGTGACATTGACTATGAATGCAGTTTTAGGAGTTGAGTTTAATTGAAGTGGGACATTGGATTTCTTGACCAAGTAACAAAACAATGTGAGTTGGAATTTAGAGACAAGGGAAGAGCTGGACTTAAGATCCAAAGCTCAGTGAAGAACTTCCAGTTGACATTAGATGTACAATAAGGAAACAATTTGAAAAAGAGTTTTCTCTAGCAGTGATTGCTTAATCTTGTGATTGGTCTGGTCATGCTATGTGATGATTTACTTCACGGGCAAGGTCTCTGGTTCAAATCCAGGATGGCCCAGTTGGGCCAAAGAAAAGAACAGAAGAAGCATCTGGCTCCTTCATGCATGTTCCACTTGGCTCGGGGGATATAGCTAAGTTGGTAGAGCTTCGCTCTTGCAATTGGGTTTTTGCAATTATGGGTTGGACGTCGAGGAAAATGGGGATCAGATAATTTTGCAGCTTGGAAGAGTAGGCAAATCCAAGTTTGTGTTGGATTTCAGGTAACTTCAAGGCAGCGGAAGCGTAATCTCAGCTTAAAAAGGCGGCTTTTCGTTTACTAATCTCCTCAGGTTGTTAAAGCTCTAATGGGCAGTCGATTATTGGAGCAGCTCAGACCATTGTCAGCTTCAGACTAGTATCCAAAAAGTAACTAGTCTTACCACTTGAGAGAGTGACGGGGAGAGAAGGAAAGGAAATGGTAAGTGTGTCATGGGTAAGTAGTTTTTTTTATGTGAGTTTCTAATAAATTTATGTAAGGTTATTTTCATTTCAGTTATTAAATTTTTAAAGTACTACCTTAGTGGTGTATATTTAAAAATATATAAACTGCTCAAACAAGTTGGAGATCCATCAAACTATTAAACCTGAAACCACTTGTTATTGACCGGCTCGACGATTTCAACCGGTTTGATAACCTTGATGTTTGGCTTATTAATTAGTTGTCATTGTTAGATCATTCAACCTTAGCTAATTAACAAACTTGTCGGTGGTCTGTCAAACCATACTTCCGCTACATTCAATCTAGTATCAATATGTATCACATTATGCGCTACTTCATTTGCACTTATGCTCACATGCTAGTATCTGCCATCTCCTATCTCATATAGCTCATCAATGTTAAGCAATCCATTTCAAGGATCGGGGAACCCAATTGATGTTGAAAAACTAGATGCAAACCAAACTCCCCCGCCAAATGATGGCAATGTAGTATATCGCAAAGTAATACATCCTATAACATTATGATCATGTTCCACGAGATCTTCTAATGGAAACTACTTTGTAACTAAACATCCTATGCTTGAATTACAATGCAATGAAGGTAAATCGGTGGGTTGAGGTTCCTTACTTTTAGTTGGTGTCGTCAATGGTATGCATTTATTCATATTGTTATCTATGTTATTCGATTCTTGTTCATTAGATGCCTTAGTTATGTGATGCTTATACCATTGGATGCATATGTCATGTGATGCCCATGATATTCGAATGTCTTAGTTATATGATGCTTTAATCATGCGATACCTTCATCATCTATTATGTTCTATTATAGTGTTACTTATAATATCATTGTATGTGCATGGTAAACCCAACTTATGTGATATGTCATTGTCTTAGGCGTGTATGGAATGGATTGATCACCCATCTTTACTCGACTATGTGCAAATGCAATGTTTGATATCGTAGAATTTGATAATGAGGAACCGAAAGAACGTAAGAGACACCGGATTTTATGGGGTATCCTCGATCGATTGATTGACCGAGACTAATCCACGGTGAGTTAGGAAGAGCTAACGAATGACGTTTTAGTGAACGGCTACATTTTGACGGCTTGCTTACGACATGTTCGTAGCTAAGTCTTATATAGAAACCAACTAGGGTTAAAAGCCTAATGAGAAGAGTCGAGTACGACCAAGTATCTGTACCTAGAGCAACTCGGACAAGGCCCAACGAGGCCCATGACTGACACGGTTTATTAACCGCAACACTCCCCCTCAATCGAAGATATGAATGACAAGAATGTCGAGGTTGAATGGAAAATGTGAAAAACAAGCATGACGAGCTTGTACAACAAAACACAAGATGAATGACATCTCGGACGAGGTTGATTTGGATACGACTAGCTCTCTCTCTGGACATCCTGATGAAGATGATTGACTGCGGCTTCTTGAACGTCGTAACGGAGACGGTTGACTACGCCTCTTTATCTCACTGACGGAGACGATTGACTGCGTCTCTTGAACTTCCAGACAGATAGATAGACTCTGTCATCTTGATGACCGACGTATGTTGATCTCCTATCCCCCCCCCCCCTCAAGCTCGAGCATGAACGACGTGAATGCCCAAATTGAAAGTTAGAATGGTAATGAGTAATTACTCAACATTGACTGATGCTGAACGCGGAGGGGACGATCGCTTCTTTGATCATGACTGCCTCGCTTCAAACTTTGTTGACAAAAGCTGTACTATCTCCCCAACACTAGCTATTGAAGGGGTGACAACGAAACGTCGTAATTGTCTTCAACGACATGACTGTGATGTTGGTGAAGATTTGCTTGACGAACATTGTTCAACAAATGAGACAAATACAACTACAACAATGAATTTGCATACCCGAAACCATCCCTGCATGACTCGCAGCAATGTAGCCAGTGACATGACCTACATGATCTCGATAATGACCCAGAAGCATGGATATGAACTAGAAAGGGTGACAAGAGCGCCGCTACTAGGGCTGTCAATTTGGTTTGGTTTGGTTAACCAAACTATTAAGTATGAAAAACCAAATCCCAAAAACCAAAACCATTAAGGTCCTTATTGGTTTTTGGCAACCAAAAACCAATAAGGACCTTAATGGTTTTGGTTTTGGTTTGGATAACCAAAAAACCAACATGTACTCATACACTCATATTTATTCATATTTCCCTCCTTTTTATTGAATAAACATCATAATAATGGTAAATGGCCATTACAAATTATTGGTTGGCCTGCGTGTCAAAAGAAACAAAACAAAAAAATATTTGTTGATAAATAATTTTATTCTTATTGGTTTCTTAATGGTTTCTATTGGTTTTTCGGTTTTAACCAAACAAAAACCATTAAGTTGCTTATTGGTTTAAAATCAAAAAATTGAAACCATTAGCTTTCTAATTGGTTTGGTTTCGGTTAAAACCAAAAAACCAAAACCAAATGGACAGCCCTAGCCGCTACTGAACAGAACACCTCGACTGTAACGGGAACCTTGAGTTAGAGACGCATGGCAGGACACCGCCGCCTCCTTCTCCATCTCGGCTTCTTGACATCTAGCTGATGATTGGACGCACAGAACAACGATGGTGGCGGCGCTATGCTGGTCGCGGCCCAATTCCCTTTCAATCACCACCGCGAACACAAGGCAGAAAATTACTATGACCATATATATAATTCTATTTATGCACTTGAGTCCTGCCAACTGTTCTTCCAAACTGATTTAACCCAAAAAAGTACCAATTAATCTGACTGTGAGATAATCTGACTGTGACTCAACGAGAATACTTTCTTCTGGCACCAATTAATCTGATGATAGAGCGACGGCGGTTTGACCTTGATTGTAGATGTTGCTGGATGCAGAGACGTGCTCAGCGTCGGAATTGACGTGGCCTTAGAGGCTTGACTGACTGCCGAGTGCCGACCTGAGATGCACTTAATTACGAAGTCGGACGACCGGATATGCTGTTGGGTTGGAGAGTGCACTCGAGAAGTTGCCGCTGACCAACATGGGCGGAGATGCAAGACGATGTTTGGAGGCAAGCTCCGATCGGTGAGGAGGCTTGACTTGATGCTGATTTGGGAGCAGCTGGTGATGCTTGACTCTTTTCTCCTCAACAGGTGACGAGCAATTGGAGGTGGACTAGCGACGCACAAACAGAGACTGAGCCTTCACGTGAAAGATGCACAATTATTAGATCCCGCCACAGAGGACAATGAACTTGGACCGATGAGGTTGTTGCTACCACGGAGAGGCAACGAATCCGACGTAGGTAATTTAAAATCCTTGACGGGTGGACGGTTGATTGCGGCAAGAGACTGCGGAAGATCAAACACCAAACCCTAGTAGATCGAGGTTTGCTTTGATACGATGTAGAATTTGATAATGTGGAGCCGAAATAACCCAAGACACACCGGATTTTACGTGGTATCCTCGATCGATTGATTGATCGAGAATAATTCACGGTGAGCTCGGAAGAGCTCACATTTTGACGGCTTGCTTACGACACGTTCGTAGCTAAGTCTTATATAGAAACAGACTAGGGTTAAAACCCTAATGAGAAGAGTCAAGTACGGCCAAGTATCTGTACCTACCTCAACTCGAACAAGGCCCAACGAGGCTCTTCACTGACACAGTTTATTAACCGCAACAGATATCTTACATCATCAATGTTATAGACCATCACTATGATTTGTAGAGGCCCTAAATAGTGATGTGATATCCATACTTTCTTGATTGATTAATTAGTCTACTGGTATAAAGTGAAATTACATATTAGGTAGTCTTAGTTCCTATTGTATGTGGTGAAAACTCAAATAGGATGGCCTTGGTGGAAGAGATAAAGATACATTATAGAAGATGCATCGTGACTTATCATTATTGAGATGAAAATGTATGATCATCTTAAGTTTTTTTATGAATATTTTTCTTCACTTATCTTTTCTTTTATGTTACGCTTTACTATATTTGCATCTCAAAAACCAATGTAAAATGTAGGGAACCTCAACCCATCTATTTCTGTAAAGTCAAGGAAGGAGGAGCATCAAGTGTCTGCTAGAAAAGAAACAAAATACCAAAAGATTTTCAAGGAGGCCATCAAGGAAGGCGGAGCATCGAGTTCACCTTTGTTGAGATCAAAAGAAGGCGCATCTACCTTAGAAGAGGAGGAAGTTTCAAGCAACATTCATCTCGAGTCTAACTCTAGTTGGGAGAAGTAAACTAATGAAGACTACAACTTTTGTTCTGGG